GGATACTGTACCTGGGGTGCTGAGAAGAGACAAGGGCAGGCGCTGAGCTAGGGAGCCTCGGGGGTGTCTTCAGGGGGATTCCGCAGGGGCCAGAGTATGGGAAGATGCAGGGTCTCAGTTTAGGGGCCTTGAGGATGGTAGTGTCCCTCCTTGAGGTAGAGGGAAGCAAGTTTGAGGAAAACCATCACACTCTCCCAGCACACGTGCAGCTGAGGCACCTCTGCAGGGGAAGCTGTGTGAGAAAGGAATGAGACAAGGTCTTGGGTGGCGGTGTTGGGAGGGGACAGCAGGAGGGGGCAGGTAATCCTGCATGGTCAGAAGGCTGGCCGCACCCTACTTCTGTGCTTACATCCCACAGCAGCCCCGCAGGAGTCCACCCTGGCACAGTCCACCTCCCTTCTAGGCCCTCTCTGTCCCTCCAAAACAGGTCTCTGAGACTCCAAGACCTCAAGACCTCAGCCTCTAGGGTTACTTGGAACCAGGAGCCCGTGACACACCCAGCGGTGCATCACGCTGAGTGCGGTGAAGGAGTGGTCCTGAGAGGTGCTGCTGTCCCATGGAGGGGAAGCACCAGTCCCAGTTCCCTGGGAGAGTTGTCGGTTTCCTCCTTCATTTTTATCATTGCTCTTTCCTCCTTTCCAGTCTCCACATCAACAAAGCCCGGCCTAAAGGCCTCCTTGGAAAGGGCAGGAGAGCGACAGTTTCAGGCTGGGGAGGCCACACAGTCTCTGTGTGTCATCATTTCTCCATCCTTCTTTCTCTAAAAAGCCTTTTAAAAATATGACTCATTCTCAGTGCAAGGATTGTCCACAAACAGCCCCTGGGCCCAGAGTGGTGTTCTGGCTGTGAAATGAACCCCCTGGGAGGTGGAGAGTCCCCAGAAGCTGAGACATCCCTCACCTCCTCACTTCACCCCCACATTGACTGTTACTCCATTTAACAGACAAGGAAACTGAGGCTCTGGGAAGAGCTGTCAGGATATTTCCTCAGGGCTGCCTGTACAAAGACGAGTGTTGACCCTGGTTGACATGGCATCTGGCTCTGGAGGCTGTTCCTCTGTCAGGCTCAGAGTGGGTCAGCAGCTCTCCTGGGGTGGCAAAGCTCCCAAGAGGGGCCTGAAGTTCCACCTGGGGCTCTGTCCTGGCCTGCATGAGTGGGTCTCAGCCCATGGGAGGAAGGTGAGGACAGGCTGGGTCCCTCACTGGGGCACCTATCCTCTGCAGGGACCTGCTGGCATTCTCTTGCATTTATTACGGCCTGAAGTCAGCTGTGCATTTGATAGAAGTACAAATTGGGGGTTAAGTGATGCTTGGATACTGGACTTGTCCACACCACTCCTGATGGCCACAGCATGGAAGCTCAGCACTGAGATGTACCTATGTCCCAGGGGCAAGCAGTTAAGCTGGGGGTTCCGTGGATGGCCAGGGCCACGTGGGGAGGAAGGTGAGAGTGATGTGGGACCAAGTGGGACTGGTGGAGGAAGGGGGAGGAGGCATGACTACAACTCCTGGCTCCCAGCATGGGGAGCAGGCAGACTGTGCACAACCTGGCCAGCAACCTCCTTGGAGCGGCCTGCAGCCTCTGGTGCTGGGTGTTACCTGAGAAGCGGGCACGTGCTGTGCTTCAGCATCATTTGTCAGAACCACAGCTCCACACTTCCTCTCCACCTTAAGGGCACACAGAGGAAAGGGGGAAGCGGCCTGATGCACTGCAGCCCCTCTCACCTCACTGCTGTGGGGCTCCTGCACCCACCTCAGCCCATGCTGTGGACACTGTGTGGAGCAGCACAACACCGCTCCAGGTGGCCCTGCAGGGCATATGGCCTGATGCTTAGACCTTTCCATAGTTCAACGAGGTCTGACTCCTGTCGGCAACAGCCACGCCCCTCCAGAAGAACTTGCTGGACACATGCCCATGGCCAGCAGATCCTCCACTCCTTGTAGCCTAATGTCCTGGTAGGTTACAGTCAGTGTAGGTTTTGGAGAATTGACCACGTCCACCTCACACATCATTTCCAGGAACCTAGAGCTCATTCTATCAGGGCATTCTGTGTCACAGCCTAAACAACATGCCATCAGGGCAAAGGGGACTGTGGGACAGTGGGGTCAGCGTCACTGTGCCTGCAGCCTCCTTGGAGCCTTGGCTGTAGATCTTCCCACTCTGCCTGCCAAGCCTGTGCCCCCACACTGGCACTGGCACATGGCAGATGAGCTCTCCAAGCCCCTCTACTAACTGCAGGGCCCTTGGTTGGGATTCCCTCTGCCCGTGCATGTCCAGCATGGCGGGGAAGGGGGTCCACCCAGCACTATAGCTATACATAGCTCAACTAGAGTCTGGCCCGTCCTGGCCACCCTGGGCCAGTCTGTGGGCCAGGGAGACTTCCTGGTCAGGCACACCTGTCGGCAAAGTGACAGGAGCCAGGAAGGCAACAGAAGGCGGGAGAAGACAGACCACAGCATTGCCCTGGGGCCTTTAGGGGCAGCATGCACAGTGTACCACTAACTTGGGCCTGCAACATTTTGTTTCTGAGCAGCGTGGTCACACTTTGACAATGAGGCAGGCAGTAACTTGTTTGACCTCTTGCCCATCTGAACTGCAGGCAGGTGGATCTCAGGATCCCAGTTCCACTGTGAGTGAGCTAATTCAAATCCTATGGAAAAAGAGGGTGCACAAGTCTAAACAAAACCTGCTCCCTTCCTGCCTAGGGGTTTGCTGTGGCAGACGCCTGACTACAGAGCACCTCCAAGGGTCCAGTTGCTTGAGCTGGCACAGAGGCCACAGCAACAGGGGACCACATGCAGGTGAGGAGAGGGGAAAGGAGAGGAACTCGATCCTGTACCCACACGTGCCAAGCCCAAGGGCACCGGGGAATGGCAGAGAAGACACCTCCAGCCCTCTGGGGACACAGTAGCTCTACTGAAGCCCACGGGGCCCACTAGGCACATTTCTCAGAATCCCAAGGGGCCACTAAGGGAGGCCAAGCCTTGAACATATGACCCATGAATTACAGGACATAGAAACCAGGCGCCCTGGCAGGGTGGAACTGGCTTGGTGGCACCAGAGGCAGCTTTGATAGGGGGTGGCCAGCAATAAGGCCCCTACCTCCCTGCTCTCTTCCCTCATTGTCTCTCTCCCTTCCTCTGGTGTACAGGGATCCCCAAGTGTAGTGAGGGTAGCTTTGGTTGCCCTAGGAGGAAGGAGAAGAAAGATCTACTTGAGAGGGGTGCAAGGCCAGTCCTCCTGCCTGGTCCCCTCCTAGGGCGCCCACCAAGTCTGCTACAACCTAGCCCTGGCACAAGTAGTCTGAGAATACAACTTTCAGCTATGTACATCACCACAGCTTCCCAGGGTGCCCAGCAGGGACCCACACTCTGAACTAGAGCGGTCACACCTTGTTGTCATTGTTGGCAAACAGGGTGAGCTCCCTCGGTCTCAGCTCCACTATGACAGCCAGCCCTATGTCTGCTCTGCTGCACCTCCCACTCAGCATCTCCCACTCAGCATCTCTGTTAGAGCAAAGGGCACTCAAGATCACACAAGAACTGCTGGCCACTGGCTGCCCTGAGTGCACACTTGCAGGCACAGGGCCCGGCTGGGCACACTGAGTTTTAGTGCCCCTTACAAGAGCTTACAAATACACGGTGCTCAAGGATGGCTTGGAGAGTTTAGGCACAGGCCAAGGGGTAGGGTGAGGGTCCAAATCAGGGTTGTACCTTTCCTCCTATGGAAAATGCACCAGCAGCCCCAAGGAACATCCTTTGAGGAACACGGGTTCAAGATGCAGGGGAAAAGCCGGGGGGGGGCCCTCAAGTGCTCTGGATGCCACAGCTCCGGTTCCAGACTAGGCCTCCGCTGCCCACGAGAGACAGCGTTTGTGGGTGGACAGGTGAGTGTGCACCCACCAATATGTGGTGTGCATGGGTGTTTGTGTGTACACGTGTGCTATGTGTATACGTGGGTGTGCATGTGCTCCGGTGTACATGTGTATAGAGGTCTTTTAGGCTGATGTGGCATATCTAGACAAAACTGCTATTCTCCAGAAGCTCTATTGTTTTAAAGACAACTCACTTTGTAAAGTTATCTGAGTTGCTTATAATTTTGAAAAAGATGGCTCTTCCCCAGCCAGTTGCTCACTGGTGTTTTCTCCAGGTTAGCCATAGACTGGTACCCTTGTTTTGAGGGCAACCAGGGCACCCACAGGTGACCCTGGAGGGAATGTGGGTCAGGTGGTGAGTGGGCTGCTGGGAAGGAAGCTGAGAGCAAATAGAAACAGGGTGGATGGCACAAAGCTCACCATGCACATCTGTGGCTGTCCTGGGGAAGGTGGGGGACTACAGCAAGAACTGTGGCTACCGGGCCACTCTGCCGGGTCCTCAGAGAGGATCCCTCACCCCAACCATTCTGGCAACGTTCACAAAGGAGAAACTCTCAACTCTTGCCCCGTACACACTACTGTGATGGGCTTGGCAGAGATACAGATAATTACTTACCTAACATCATGCCTTAAGCTTTGCTTTGGTTATTTAAATTTACAGAGAAACTAGTAGAAAGGGAATCAACATTCTGTCCAGAAATAGAAGGGAGAAGTAACAGTAATGAAAGTACTAAACAACTAGTTAATTCTGGTTCTGAGCCCTGGCCATTTCTCTCTGCCGGCAGGGAAGTAAGCCAGAGTTATAGAGGCTTCCAGGACAGTCAGACCACTGGATGCCAAGTGAGGTGAGGACCATCTCCCAAGGTGAGCAGAGTCACTTGAACACTGTGTCCCTGGACTGCTAGGAGTCACCCCCTCTTATGAGCCATGGAGGGTATGCTCACATGTACTGCAAAGCTTTGAGAGGGGTGCTTAGGCCAGGCAGTAAGGAGAATATCCCAGTTAACCCCCAAAGGCAGGTCTGGATTGGCCTCCTTTGTGCTAGTTCAGAAATGGGGACTGCTGAGCACAGAGTTGTGGAACCCCAGAGAAGCCAGGGATGGGGGTCTGGAAAGTGGGATGTTACCTGGGCAGGAGCAGAGCAGGACAGATGAGCCAGGTCCCCGATCCTGGCGGCGGCCCGGGGATCACTGGAGCTGATCAACACTGGGGCACTGATTTCCATGGAATGCCTATGGCTGGAAGCCTGGGAAGATCGGTGTGTCACGCTGAGTGCGGTGAAGGAGTGGCGTTTCTTGGCATTCTTCTTGCTGTCCGCACGCCGCTGAAAGGCACTGACTGCCCCTGTGCTGCTTACAGTGGGGGCTGGGGCCAGGCTGGCCATAGCGCCAGGGTCAGAGGGTAAGGAGGCATCACAGCAGGACGCAGCAGTTGGGCACGGCTTATCCATCTCAATGAGCTGCTTGGCGGAGTCGTTGAGCTAAGTGGGAAAGGGGAGAGGGAGGCATCATTAAATAACTCCTAGGCTGCTGCTGCTGCTCTCTGCCCTCTCCCTGTGCATTCCATTCCCACTTACAGATTGGCAATGAGCTCAGGGTGGTCCAATCTTCCTAACAGCGGCTTCCATCATGAGTGGAAGTTAAAACAGAATAGAAGCTGGTAGGGTGTCTGTAGATTTTACTGAAAAAGCTTTCTGGAATAGCTCAAAGGCCCCTAGGGCCTGGACAGGGAGCATGGGACCCCAGAATAAAGGGGAGCATTTTCCAAGGGCTGCTACCTTGTTGGTCCCAATCTGTCTTAGTGGCTGGCCATGTGGCCATGTCCAGGGTGCAAGGTACAGCCCTACAGACAGCAAGTGACAGGAGGCAAGAAGGGGAGGAGGCCCAGCATGCGGCAGGACGGTAGGGCCTGCCCTGAGCATTGCCGGTCACTCCAGAGATTTCCAGACATGGGACTAGAATGCAGTCTGTCTGGGGACTGCTCATGGCAGGGGTATCTGCTGTGGTCAGTGTGAACCCAGGAAGCTCTTTTTAGTAATGGTCTTGACTCTGGGTTGTCAAGACCCAGAAGCTGATTGGAGCTCATCCTGTGAAGGGCTAATAATCGTCTTTGGTAGTAACTCAGCAAGGACTCAGGATGCCTCTCCTTGCCAGGAGTCTCCCACCTTTTCTACAAAGTAGCAGGTGTTTTTACTTTTTTCTTTTTGAGTGAAGAATTTGACAAATCTCTGATCCTGGGTGGTGCCTATCAGGAAAGCTGACATGAAGGTTCCAGGCTGTGTGTGAGTAACCTGGGAACGAATATCCCAGGCGGCCTGAGCCAAGCCTTCTTCTCTGGGCTCTATAGGCCTGGGCCCACCCACTGGCATGGGGTAGAAGTCACAACCCTGGAGGTACCAGCTGTGTGAAGAACAGGCTCCCTCTGCTCCAGCTGGGGGGTCTGGCAGGCCTCAGGTTTGGCAATCGGTCAGCTTGCCATCCATGAGCCAAAATGTCCCTAACTCCCACACCTGGGGGATGCTTTCTCTCAATATGTGTGATGAAGCCCCTTCCTCAGGCTGTATTTGGCTTAACCTAAGCTCATACCTGAAGTGGGAATTTGAAGTGATTTGAAGGAATGAAGCTGAGAAAGCTGTAGTAAATATAGTGAGAAGTGAGTGGGAAGAAAATTCGATGCAAGAATCCACTTGAGATTATATCCTGAAGATGGGCTAATTAAATGCCCTCTTGCCAGACACCTGTGAGGCCCCACTCCTTCTCCCTCACCCTCGCAGGAGGAGCAGGAGAAAGCAAGTCCAGACCAGAGGTCTCCTCAAGAGGCCCCCATCCATCTCCTCACTAAACAGGAACCATAGGGGACCCTGGCCCAGGAGAGATGGCACACATTGTCTGCCAGGGTGACACTGGGGTTGGGACCCCAGCTTTGGTGGAACAGAGTGGGCCCTGTCTGCACTGTGAGCCCCAGAGGAACACCAGGGCCAGTGCTCTGACCTTTTAGCCAAGGGCTTTCCAGAAGCTGCAGGTGGGCCACAGGGGTAGTATGATGTCTCCATGGGGAAAGTGAGACTCTTCAGGGTCTGGAAGGATGTATAGAAGTTGGAGGGGAGAAGAGAAAAGTGGGGAGTGCAGGAGGCTCACAGGTAGGAAGACCACCACAGGCAGCCGAGATTGGCGTGGGACCCGTTGTGGGTCCATAGCAGCGGTTCTCAACCTGTGGGTTGCAACCCTTTTGTAACAATGAAAATACATCCTGCATATCAGATATTTACGTTACGATTAAAATTACTGTAGCAAAATTACAGTTATGAAGTAGCAACTAAAATAATTTTATGGTTGGGGGTCACCGCAACATGAGGAACTGTATTAAAGGGTCACGGCATTAGGAAGGTTGAAAACCACTGAGAACCACACCTGCTTCCCAGGCCACACACAGATGAGTCTGTGATCTCCCTCATCTCTGGCTGGAGGCCAGTGGGTTTTGTGGCTCAAGAAGTGCCAGTGGCCTGACACGTGCAGCATGGGGCCCACTCCCATGTGGGGTGGGGGCTGCTGTCAGCCTGGCCTGGAAAATTCCCTTCAATCCTGCAAGTGTGGAGGGGATATGCCAGGCCTCAGCCTGCATGACCAGCACCTGCAGTCACAGTGCCCTGCCAGTTACTGGGCAGCCCAGGCTCTCCCTCCTCAGGCTAAGCAGGTGCCAGTGGTGACTGCAGCTTTCAGCTGCCTTCAGAGCCAGCCCAGGCATGTGGATATTGGCATTTTTACTACAAATACCTATCTTTCAGAGGAAGGTCATGAAAACTCAAGCCTCCAAAGCATGGGATCAAAATCCGGGATTATTTCCTCTGGGTTCCTCCTCCGCCAGGCTCAACTGTTTTGCTCCATTTTACTGCTTTACTCATTCGCTTCCTCATTAGTGCTACTCAGAAAACAAGCCAGTATCTGCTCCTTCCACAGTGCCCCAGTGGCACCCTGGGAGCCCTGGGGTGGCTTCCTGTACCCCAGTGGTCCACATTGCCCCTGGCAGGACTCAGAGGAAGACAGAGAAGCAGGGAGCAGCAAGCGTGACACCTCTCTAAATGCTGCCTGCCATGTGCCTCTACCGGGAATGCCATAATACAGAAAGAACGGTGACAGTGATTCCAGAGGCTGGGCAAAAGCAATTCCCTTTTTCCACAAAGGCACAGACCTGGAGCATCTCACTTAGTCCCCCCATGGCTCTGTTAAGTGGTATTAAAAACTCCATTTTCAAAATTGGGAAACACAGGTACTCACAGGTTGGTGAACCCACACCCAGAACAGATGGACCATGGTTTGAATGATGGTGGAGATTTGCAGGTTCTCTGTTCTTATCTGGTAGCCTCAGCAGCTACACTGCAGCACCTGGCCCCTCGGTAGTGCCATGGGTCACCAAGCACCAGGAAGCCACTGGCAAATCCCCCCAAGAGACTACTCACAGCTAACCTTGCTGCACCCACTTATGACGGCGAATGAGGGTGTGGGGGGCAACTGCCTTTCTCCTCATGCCTTAGCTGTCCAAGCCACAGGGGGTGCCAAAGTGAGAGCAAATCACTCCCCACAGGAGACAGGTGATTTCCACAGACCGCCCCCAGGGGCTGAGCCCTCCATGTCCCATGGACAGCTTTCATATCCCAAACATCCCTGCAATAGGCAAGTGAGGTGCCAACGAAGGGCCCCTCCTGGGAAGAGAAACAGTTCAGTTCTCTTGGTTGGCTCATCTTCGCATCTGGGACAAGCAGCTCTTGTTGGAACCAAAGGGCCTCTCAGTGGGCCTGTTTCCTCCTGGTTCATGCTGTATTTCTAGTGACAGTCCAGAATGAAGCAAATCGGAGCTTCTCAATATACAGACCCATCTCTCCACACATGAAATAAGGGCCATTTACTACCCACCAGTGGAGTCAGTGGCTTGCTAGAGTTGACATGCACAGTGACCATTGGACACTGTGAGATGCCTACATGCAAGGTGACTACAGCAGTTCTGTGATACAGTCCTGGGGCAAAACTTGTTTCGGGAAGCTGTCATTGTCTTCCCAGTAAGATCCAGTCAGCCACATTACAAAGGCAGCCCTGGCAGTTTGGGGGCACCAGTGCCATCCCATCCGGAAGGTTTTTCATCTTCATGTGCCCATAGAACACACTCACCTGCCAGCACCTGTCCCTGATGGTGGCTCCTGTTAGAAATACCTCTGATTTCCTACCTCCTCACTCTCCCTGTGGGTGTGACAGGGCAGCCAGCCAGCCCATTCTCCCCACTGTGGGCTGCAGGGCTGCCTGACCAGGTACAGGGGACCCTGGCCGAGAAGCTACATGTCCTAGGAAACAATGGCCAGGGAAACAATGAACATCATAAAATGCCCCCACTCCCTGCCCCAGCCAGAATGCTAGAATGTTCTGTGCTGGCTATCAACTGTGAAGGGTAGGGTGCAGAGGGTGCACAATACCCCCTGGGACTCTGCGGAGGGGGCACCCTCCCCACAAGATGCTCATCTGGAAATAAGAGGGCTCCATGGCCCCGTCTGCATAGGGAGATCACCTGACGTGTCACATGGACGCTTCTTTCCCACACACACAAAACCAATGCACCCAATACCTGTGCTAACGGGCAGAGAAGACGTTTTCAACTCCTCTCCAAAATGAGAACAAAATGGTCTCACTGACATTTTCAAATACTTGATGAATTTCTCCTTGTCCTGAGGACTATTCTGGTCCCTGGATAGGAAGGCTCCCATCCCAGGGTGTACCCACCCCATTCTATAGGGGCTGCTCCACCCTGAAATGCTTCTGGGCACATGGAATAAGACAGGGTGAGTGGCAAGCTCAATCAGTCTTGCACTTTGGGCAGCAGAGGTCTGGCCAGGCACTGCCTTGGGAGCCTGTGTGCTGCTGCTGCCTCTGGCTGACTCTTCCTCGGCTTTGCCTGGACACCTTTACTAGATTACTGTGATATTCCACCTCAACCACTTTCCAGCCATGGAACCATCTAGAAATGTTAAGGAGTTCCTTCTAGCTACTTCTAGACTTCTATGGAAGTCCATGGAATGTCCTCTTGAACTTGAGCAAGCTATAGTACTGGCAGCATCTGAGGATGGGGACCAGGAGAATTAAGGGGCATTCCTCCCTTACCAGCAGGCTATGTGAGCCGCAAGTCTCTCTAGGCCCGTCTGGGACATGGGTCCTGGGTTCAGGGAAGGCCAGAGCAGTTGCCCCAAATCTGGGTCTGATTCAGAGGACTTTAAACTGCATGACTGCAGGAGGAATTTTTTTAAGGACCACGATAAGGGAAGAGAGCAGACGTAGCATGAAAGGAGGCATGGTGTGGTGGGAGGTGGCCAGCTGCTTACAGGAAAAACATTGGGAAGTAGTTGTCCAGCCCCAGAGCCTCTGTCCTGACCCAGCGCAAGGGAAGTACAACCCTCACACAGAGTGACGGCCCTGGGACAGTCCCCAGAGGGTGGCAGTA